TTTTTTTTTTTGTCACTGTTGCGTTGTTGTTCTCTTGCTAAATGAAACAACTAGCAGTTGATGCTTTGGTGTGCAGCAGCTATAACTCATTGTAATAACTATGAGCGGAAAATATTTCACTTCATAGTCGGTTAACTATTACTGAAGATGTTTCAGAGTTCATATGGTTTCTAAGTTTCTGTGTTTTGCATTGAATGGGATGCTGTGGTTGACTCTGCAGGAAGCAGAGTTTATACTGAGAAACATTTTGCCTTGTGTAAGCTAAACATGTGATTGTTAAAACAGGGAACACTAAAAGTTTCTAATAAAATGTGTGCAAAATCCATATTAAAGACTTGGGGGGTTAAAGTTAAACAGTGTACAATGTTGCTAGTTAATGACAACTTTGACTTCATTATTTTATCTGTTTGGTTGCTAATTTGAAAGTAAATATGTTTTTGCCTTGAACAATACAGAAGGCTCAACAATAACAGTTTGACTGGACAAATTCCATATTCTCTAACTACCATCAATACCCTTCAAGTCCTGTAAGCAATAATTCAGCCAATCATCTTTTAACTTTTTCATGTGTGGTTGTGTGTTTTGCTTTTATTGTGGTGTTTTGTGCTAATTTAAGTTCTCATGTTTTAATAAATGCAGTGATCTTTCAAATAATCATCTCACTGGACCAATTCCCGTGAACGGATCCTTTCAGCTTTTCACCCCTATTAGGTTTAATGTAATTCTTATGCTTTTAATATTTTTTAAAATTGTGATCCTTCTCTATTTTATTGCTCACATTTAACTTTCTCTGTTAAGTTTTGCGGGTAATCAGTTAAATTATAGTACTGGCAATATACCACCTCCAGCTGCACCAGCACCGCCAGCTGCTTCTCCAGGTTAAGCCACCCTCTTTACCTACTCTTTTTTATGAGATGAAGTTTGTTTATGTAGTTTGATAGATATGATATAAACAAATTTTGGAGTTCAGAGATGTTATACATTTCCAAAAACATGCATTTTCCATTTGCTACTCAGAAGTGAGAGCATTTGTGTACAATGCATTCAGCCGCTATTCTTCCATGCACAATTAGAATTTTGTGCATCTTTGGTCATTTCAGTTTGCGCTGCTAAAAGGTACAAATGTACTTCAGGCAGCTGTCCTTATAATACGACACACCTGGCAATGAGTATTATTTGTGACTTCTAGTAATAACGAATTTATCAAGAAGATGAAGAATATATAGAGTAAAATAAACATCATATTCATATAATATGGTAAGATAACTATTGTGGTTAATAAAGGCTGACATTCTTAAAAATCAGCACTTAACTAAGACATTGATTCCAGAAGGTACTTTTGTTATATTCCAATATTTTCTAGATCAATGGATTCCGCTTTTGGGGCATAAGAATTGTTCTGGACGTGAATAAATAAACAGCAACCCTTACAGTTATAAGTACCTTTGCAGTTGGAAGCAGTACTACTGCAGCCATTGCGGGAGGTGTTGCTGCTGCTGCTGCCCTTCTATTTGCTGCTCCTGCAATTGCACTCGCTTGGTACCGGCGAAAGAAGCCCCAGGACCATTTCTTTGATGTTCCCGGTTTGTGGATTAATGATTTAAATTGTCATCATAATGGGAGAAGGATTAGTTCAATTACAACCCCCCTTAGACGAGTATAATAAAATACAAACCCCTCAGTACTGCAATTTGCAAAATTGAAACAATGGTCAAAGGACATTTGTAAATTCTAAAAGATAACTTAACTGGGCCTTTAGCTTTCGTTTTTGCAATTGAACCCTACAGAACATATTGCCAATTTTCACTTATAATATATGTATTTTCAGCTGAGGAGGATCCAGAAGTACATCTAGGCCAGCTCAAGAGATTTTCCCTGCGTGAGCTCCAAGTTGCAACAGATAATTTCAGCAACAAGAACATTCTCGGAAGAGGTGGTTTCGGCAAGGTATACAAAGGGCGGTTGGCGGATGGTTCTCTAGTGGCCGTCAAGAGGCTAAAAGAAGAGCGTACACAAGGTGGGGAGCTTCAGTTCCAAACAGAAGTAGAAATGATCAGCATGGCCGTGCACCGGAATTTACTCCGGCTGCGTGGTTTTTGCATGACTCCTACAGAAAGGCTGCTTGTTTATCCTTACATGGCCAATGGGAGTGTCGCATCATGCTTAAGAGGTATTCAACTGCTGTCTCCACTTGAAAATACTAATGACACTAGTTTACCATGTCCGCTGCTAGATGGAAATGATATCGGAAATTATTTTCCAACAATTACCGATTTGTTAAGCTATTCCTGGATATTGTTTCATCGTTGATATTTGTTGAATGATGAGAAATAGGGTTATTTGCATAACATGTCCCTGAGAGTTTAGCTTAATTGCAATGGAAATTAGATCAGGAAATGGTAGAAATTAATTTTATGATTCTTGGTAATACTAAATTTCACTCTGAAGTTTCGGGTTGTCATGAAAAATATCCTGAAAAGGTTAAAATTGCAGAACTTACCCCTACAGTTGGATTATGTGCTATATGTAAGGCGCAGCTCTAATATTTTGATAATGCAAGGGGGATGTGTGGAAGTGTTTTTTTTTTTTTTTTTTGGGATAATATTTGCACAGAACATCTAGAGCCTTCTGTAATTTAAGGAAAATCTCAGGGATAGTTTTCACTATTCACGCTTTCCTTCTTTAATTAGTCCTGAAAATTACAATTCAATTGAACATCTAGTTCTGCAAGATCACTTATAGAAACCTGCATGGGCCTGTTACTTGTCTTATCTGTAAGAAGCTTTTAATTTATTTACTGCAGAAAGACCCGAATCAGCACCTCCACTCGATTGGGCAAAACGAAAACATATAGCACTTGGTTCCGCAAGGGGACTCGCTTACTTGCACGACCACTGTGACCCTAAAATCATCCATCGTGATGTGAAAGCTGCCAATATACTTTTGGATGAGGACTTTGAGGCTGTTGTTGGTGACTTTGGGCTGGCCAAGCTGATGGACTACAGGGACACTCATGTGACCACAGCTGTACGGGGAACAATTGGTCATATAGCCCCAGAGTACTTGTCCACTGGTAAATCATCGGAGAAAACCGATGTTTTTGGCTATGGGGTCATGCTTCTTGAACTCATAACCGGACAGAGGGCATTCGATCTGGCTCGGCTTGCGAGTGATGACGACGTCATGTTACTTGATTGGGTGAGATTCACTTCACGTATGCTTTTCATACTGTTGATATTCGAACCATAACTTCTTTTTCATTTTCTGTTTATCTTTCGTGGCGTATTGAATTGGTTTGTTTTTTATCCTTGAGTTAATTGCCTAACTGCCATTACAAATTTGTGAAGGATAGCAGATATGGCGAAGACACATGTCGCCATGGTGGCCGCCAGGCAGCCACAATGGCGGGATTTTATCTCGCCGCCATTTTCCACCATTCGCCATGGATAATACTGACAAATTTTAGTTCTTAAAATTTGGCTTTACTGTTTGATCAAAAGGAAATTTAGTTGCATTTTTACTGCAGCAGCATGTCATGATCTCTTACATTTAGTCCTCTCTCGTGTACTATGTCAGGTGAAAGGACTTTTGAAGGAAAAGAAGCTGGAAACATTGGTGGATGCAGATCTTCAGGGGAACTTCATTGAGGGGGAGGTGGAGCAACTGCTACAGGTGGCCCTACTCTGCACACAGAGCTCCCCAACCGAACGTCCCAAGATGTCGGAAGTGGTGAGGATGTTAGAAGGTGATGGGTTGGCCGAGAGGTGGGATGAGTGGCAGAGGGAGGAAATATTTCGGCAGGAGTTCAATCAGTCGCATAATCAGGCCACTGACTGGATTATTGCTGATTCCACTTATAATATTCGGCCAGATGAGCTGTCGGGCCCCAGATGATGATGATGATGATGGTTTGGTTTGTAGTGTGGCTCGGTTATGGGGGCTTAGGTGTTGTGTATTTGGTCAAGTCTTCTTTTTTTTTTTTTTTGGCTTAAGCAAGGTCTCGGGTTAGAGTCCTTGTGAATGCAGAAAAACTCTTGTTGGAGACTCACCTACCACTGTCAGGTGTGCTATCCGGGTCGACCAATGGATTAGTCGGGGCATAGCTCCGGATACCGTGGCTGGCTACCAAAAAAAATAGTCTTTTTTTTTTTTCTTTAATATAAGCTCAGCATACTGTACAGGATTTTATTTTATCTTATATTTGTCTTCTAAATTTCATCTTTTTGCTTTTTTTGTTTAATCTTTTTTTTCTATACATTCTACAAGAGGGGTGAAGAGGAGGTAATAATATGTATTTCAGAAATTTGGATAGCAATTGTTGCTTTACCTGTTCCAAACCGACCTTGGAATATGATATATAAGTGAATAAATAAAATAAAATTGCCTATTTCACCAAGGAGATGGAGATTAATTGATGATTTTATTAGTCTTTATATAGCCAATGAATCTGTAAAAATTTGATATACCTAAATTAACCTTACGTTATCATGTTTATAATGTCAATTTTGTAATTTAATACCCCCATCCTATACTAATATTTTTAATTAAACATATTCTAGGGATATGTCCTCCACCTGCGTACGTTAAACCTCAAAAAATATAGGGGATTATCCTTCACGTCTTCACTCACTCACGCACACTCTGAAAAAAAGATAATAAATATATCAAATCACACTTTCATGTTGCACAATATTCATTCATTCAATTCAAGAAACAAAAATCTTTTATTTATACTTACTACTTTTTTTAGCTAGCATTTAAATTATTTTCTCCATAAGAAATTGATAATCACAAATAATTATTCCATATTATCATAATATGGACCACAAACTTTAATAACTACTGTCATAATAATAAAATTCATATGACTAAGAGTATCATAATATAATATATTTCAAATTCTTCTCATCTGAAATATTTTGACAAAGTGATATGCTTCTCAATATTACAAATTCGATCGATTGGGAAAGTATTAAGACAAATAACTCTGAAATCATTGCAACAACTAAAATAGTTAATGATTTGCAAACAATAGGTTATGTAGTTTGTCTATCTTCCAAATAAATAACACTGAAAAGGGAATGTTCGACTCTGATCAAAATATTTTTGAATGTTTGAGTAAGTTGTAACTTTTTAATAGGAACATTTACAATTTTAATTGTGTATTGTGCTCGAAAATATGCGCAATTACTTTAGAGCAAGGTTTTAAATAGCGGGCTAAAACGTTTATGGCACTGTAGCTATAGCGGAGCTATAGCGGAGATTTAGCGGGATTTAGCGGCTAAATTGCACATGAATACAAATAGCGGCACGCTGCCAAAAAAAGCTATTTCTCAAATAGCGGCAGCCTTAGCGAGCTATTTATTTCCTTGCTTTAGAGTATGTACTTCCATGTAATGTGTGATGATACTAAAAATAGTTTAGCATCATTTTGGAGAAGTACATGATTTTGAAAATCAACTTTTATTTAGAAATGAAATTCATTCCCACCCATATGATAGGTACCAATTTGTCTGTATGGGGAGAGAGAAAGAGAGAGAGTAATGTAGTAGTTTATACAATGATTAAAAAAAGTCAAGAATTTCATTGACGCAGTTGGTATTTCACAGAGATATTTATGAAATATTAGTTGAAATACCTTATAATGATCATTCAATTATGAAGTTTGACTATATGCTTGGCTAACGTATTTCTAAGTGTTGAATAAAGTAGACGTTTTACTAAATTAATTAATAATAATTTTGCAATATTATTGATGTATTGGACTCCAATGAGTATGAATGTTTCTTATGAAAACTCAAAACTAAAATGAAAAAAAATCACTCTCGAACCTTATAAATAGATAAAATAACTCATGCATCTATAATCTATCTATCTATCTATCTACTACCCTAAAAGAGTGAATATTTCTGTAAAAATATTTGTTCTCTAAACTACCCTTTTAAGGATACACTAAATTCTTAGTTACCTTGGTTAAATAGTCATTATCAGTTGTTTAGTAATTAATGGTTATAATTGTATGGAATATCAAACAATCACTCAAAGCTTTGTTTTTATCGTTTCTCAAACCATTTGCAATAAAAAGTGGGAGTTTATCATGAATTCTTATATAAATAAGAATTCTTTCTCTGGAGAAAAAAATATGCAAAATTAGTCTACAATTCACATTTCTAGCCAATCAACAATTTATTTGTAGAGCATTTTTTCTCCTAATAAAACATTCAATTTTCTCTTTTTATCTATATTTGTATCTATCTATATCTTCTATATCTATATCAATATCTATCTATATCTATACTATATATATATATATATATATATATATATATACTACTATAAAAGAACAAGTATTTTTGTAAAAAAATTGAAGTTACTTTGACATATTTTTAATGACAAATTAGTAATATACTAATATACATCTCATTTTATATTTTTAATTAAAATATAAACTGCCTGAAAATCTCTTAAATTGACATGTTTTTAATGACAAATTAGTAATACCCTAATATCCATCATATCTTCTATATTTAATTAGTAAATAATCTATATCTATATATATATAAAAAGAATTACCATTTACTAAAAATAGTAGCAAAAATTAGGAAACATTTAATGCATGCTATTTTTGGAAATTTTTTATATATGCATTAATTGCTTCTATTTACACGTTCTCAAATAAGATCAAATAATTACTTAAATAAATTATTAATATCTGCAGTATTTTCATTTATATTTATTATAATAAATTACAAGATTGATTTTCGTGATTCATGTTGATAATATTTTGGTCAAGACATATATTATTTTATTAATATTTGTAATACTTTCATTGATATTCATTATAATGAATTACAAGATTGATTTATGTGATCCATATTGATAATATTTTGGTGAAGATAATATTACACCATATTTTAAGTTCTAACCATAATATTAGTTTTTTTCACAAATATTCACTTTTTATCCAAAAATATTTATGAAAAATCGTAACAAATTAGGTAGAATTCTTTTTCCAAGTAATCAGACAAAATCAAATTGGTGAATTAATATTTGTCAATATATTTGTTTCTTAAGCTTTATTTTGTTATATATAAAAGCTAAATCGTTCTTCAAATGAATATAATTTACCATTTAAGAGATAATGACCAGATACAATAAATAGTTTTACTAATGGTAAAAACTTAAAATTGAAACATATTAACTATTGTTTAGCATTTATTTGTATATTATTGGCACCCATGACTATATTTTTTCATTTTTTTATTTTGATTTATTTCTATAATTAAATTCTTGTAAAATATATTTTCATTGTTGGGTATGCTAAATAAACCATAAATCCTTATAATGCAAACTAGAAATATCTTGATCATATAGGGGATCGAGTTCTTTGGATTTTCTAAATCAAAGTTGTTTAAATAGTATATAAAATTAAATTCTAGAAAAACATGTGTATATTTTGTAAAATATTTGTACACTATTTAATATTAAATTTATTTACATATTTTAAATTGATTACATAAATAAATAATGCAAACGTGCATTAAATATTTTTCATTACATAAAATAAAAATATAAAGAAGACGTGCAATTTTTATAACTTTATAAATAATAATGATATTATATGACATAAAGTGTATAATAAAATAATAATTACGTATTATATGGTGAACAAGAATAAGTAAAATTGTTATTCTCTCTTGTATCAAGGAATAAATATATATATTAAAATCAAATTTAAATTAGGATAAATGTGTTAGTGAAATAATATATTAATTATTTTAATATTTTGACTAAAAAAATAACGTTGATTAAAAGAGGTGCAAAATATATTATAACCTTATTGTTTATTATACTTAAAGTTGGTTAAAAGAGATGAAAAATAGATGATAATCCTATTGCTTTATATACTTAAACGGACAAAGCATGTGAAATAACACATTTAATATTTTTGTCCCGTGCATCGCACGGGATACGTTCTAGTATTTAATTAATCAGATACAAATACATGAACAAAACATTCCACATCTCCAAATCATAAACTATACGATTCTCGCACCATAATTTATTACGAATTTATTAATAACTATAAGCAAAAAACTACAAAATCTATATTGTTTACTTATAACAATATACCACAAGTTTTTTATTGATTAAAAAAACTTGATCATTAAATCAACTTTAATGTCGGTAATTGAACATATTATTTTATGTGGGTACGTTATTTTTAATTTTTTAGTTAAAATTTATTTACTTTTTACCATTAAATTTTTTAATTTTGAAATACTTAATATTTTGTTTCTTTGTTACCCTTTTATATGTAATATGTAATGTTGATTTAATCAATGTATTAAAAATAAAATAAAAATATTATAATTATTTCTTTCGATATAAAATAATACATTTATACATATCAATACCAATTTAAAATAATAAATGTACTTAAATATCCATTAATTCATCTTCTGTAGATTTTGTACTTAATTATTTCTTTCGATATAAAATAATAAATATACTTAAAGTAATAAATAAAATAATTAATTCAATTACCGATCATCTCTAGGGAAGTAATAAATTTAATGTCGGTAATAAAAAAAATAATTAACGACATTTATTTCTTTCGATAAAATTATAGTTAATTCAACTAATAATTTTAATGTCGGGAAATGAACTGACTATAGTTGATTTCAAAAAATAATTCAGCATCTCTAGAGAGAAGTACATGATTTTGGAAAGTCAACTTTTAACACTGAAATATCCATTAGAGTTATCCTTGAAATTGTGTTGTAATAAATTTTTATTCAAATTTTCACTACAATTTCATTATTTTCTTGTACGACTCCAAATCAATAAGAAATTTAGCATTATATGTAATATTGTGTACAACTAATTATTAT